CTGTAGTTTTGCAAATAAACAGGTAGAGAACAAAAGTATGAAGACGGAATTGCTTTGCTGAGGAACGCGCTGGCTAATCAGAGTGACTGTGTTCTGCATCGAATACTTGGAGACTTCCTTGTAGCTGTCAACGAATACCAGGAAGCGATGGACCAGTACAGTATTGCCCTAAGGTAACCCAGAGACTCCAAGGTTGCAGCGTATTTATAAGAATCCATAATCAACTCCAAGTAAAAAGTTGAGCATTGAGTCACTAATTGGTTAGGGCATGCATCAGAGGTAGCTCTACATCATTCTCCCTTAAAACAGAAACACAACATGACCTGATAATGAATTAGTTGCTCATAAGGCTTTGAACTGAGAAGTGCAAAATTTAGGGATGGTGTTAACGGTAAACATGTCACCAGGCGTACAGCTCCTTTACTGATGAAAAGATTAAGGCGTGGATTTTTGTATTTATTATTAAATTGGCAACTTTAGGATCTGTTCCTTTAGAATAGAAGGTCCTCTATGAGCACGAGCTATTATGTAAATTTAAATAGGTGATTCAATAAAGAACCTAAATGTTATCTTATAAAGTTATGTTAAATGTTACATATTTCAATTTCAAAAAGTTAAACTTACCTTAAATCTAGCACATTACATCCACAATAAACTCGTGTTGCGTAAATGGATCAGCTATTTTTGTCTTGTAAATGATGCGTTTAGTCATAGTCATTTAAATTTTTATTACTTCCACATTCTTATAATTAGTGTTGTCTGAAGGAGTTGACTAAGTTTCCTTAAAGAGCGTGATGTTTAGAGAAGTGCATTCGTGAGGCTCAAAATGGTTTTGTATAGAGATGTAATATTTGGTGTTATTGTCAGCCTGAGGTGAAGCTGCATCTACTAATTTGAAATTCTTGGTGGTGCTAAACAGGAAGTGCACAAAACAAGATGATTTTTTTTTATGATAGCATTACAAATAAAAAAAAAATACTAAGTTTTAAGTCAATGCTTTTTTTTCCTTTCTTTTCCCTCAGTTTGGATCCAAACGATCAGAAGTCACTAGAAGGAATGCAGAAAATGGAAAAAGAGGAAAGCCCAACAGATGCAACCCAGGAAGAAGATGTGGATGATATGGAGGGAAGTGGAGAAGAGGGGGACTTGGAAGGCAGTGATAGTGAAGCAGCCCAGTGGGCAGATCAAGAACAGTGGTTTGGCATGCAGTGATGGCCTCTCTCACTGAGGCTTGTTCTGGCACATGGACGTACCACCGGGGCCATTCTTCTTTGAAGAACTTCAGCTATTTTTTTTGCAGTAACAGAAGACTTTTTTTTTTTTTTTTATAGACTCTGAAACCATTTATAGTTCTATGCATCTCAATGCCATGAAGATTCTTAATGCTTCTTATTTATTAAGTATAAGGGATTAACTGTACTGAAGGTTATTTACAACTTTTAATTTCAAAAAATCCCTGCTAAAACTAGAAGCATTATAGAATCTAAAGTGCATAATAAGCCTATTGTTTATGATGAGAACTGTCTAAATTGTGTTCAGGGCTAAGTGTGCTTGATTGATTTGTAAATACAGCGGTTTGTATTCCTTTGTGAAAAAGGTTTGTATGTTCCCTTGTTTGTATGCTACCTTTTGGGCTCACACTCCTGTTGAAGTCTGGAGGAGTTGCTTTGGTGTGGCTGAAAGCAGCACTTTTCTCTTGCTGTGTTTGTTGAATTAATTTGTCTTTTTATAAGGCATGTCTTTTTATCTTCTGTGTGCTGTAAAGGAGACGTTTGATACGCCACTCGGCTTTGTCTTAGAGGACATTTTTGTAGTTGACCGATTTCTGTGTGTACGGAATTGTACCAATGGTGGAGAATTACAGCAGTATGCCCAATCCTTACTGAACTCTGTAATCACATAAAGTCTGTACATTAACATTTATTTTTAAATGCTCTTTAGTTTTATTTCAGAATGTTACTAAATGGTTTTTCATCAGTGACTCAAAGCACTTAACATTCAGCATACAGCAATGACAATTAAAATGATATAAAAAGAATTCATCCCTTTCCACATGCATTACTGTAAAAATGTTAAAATTATACAAGTATGTATTGTCTTGCTTTTGCCATGTTTAGATACTTCCTGTTGGGAGATAATGTTTGAATTCTTGTGTTTTCCATCACCTTTTGAAGCCAAGTTACATTGCTTCGATTACAGATTCTCAACGTTCTCTCCTCAGCATCATCTCTTCCAGGGTGAGCTTCGTCGTGTAATCCAGAAACTTTCAATTCTGTGGGTTTGGTGTGTGGGAGGAGGAATTACTTTGTGCTCTTACTTTTCTTACAGCTCTGATTTCCTTAGTCTTACGAAAACATCTTTTTATCTTGACAATTTAATTCCTTTTGTATTTATTCTGTTACCACAGTTATGCTGGAGCAGACAGACTTTATTACAAGACTAAAAAGTAGTTCTGAGTATCAGCTGGAGGAAAAATGCCTGTTTGCTACAAATACATGAGATGGAAAACAAGTTTCCCCCTAATCGTAGAAGTACAATGCAGATAAGGGTAAAATTTCTTTTCCTCTGTAATATGCACTACATGAATTAGAAAAATGCACAACAAAGAGACTAGGCAGTTACTCCTATCGTAGTCTATTTTGAAAATGCTTTTTTATGTCACATCTTATAAAGGGAGTCTAATAGTTTATCCATTTAAAAAAACAAACAAACATCTAGGTATGTGTTCTCTCTGGAATTCTAGGGGCTTTAGACTTTCCAAAATATCAAGCTGAGCTATGCTTAATTGAAGAATATATGGGAAGAACAGAAAAGAACAGAACGCTGCTATCTTGGTGATTGAATTGGCATAAACTGTGACTGCTCCTTAATTAAATAAATTCACCAAATGGCTGTGTTTCAGTTAGTGAACACTTTGTTAATTGCATTCTGGTGTGAGAGGCCTGAAACCCTTTTTTCTTTAATGAAGAACCTAAGTGTTTATACTATTGCTGTCTGATGAAAAAAGTATACACGTACAAGCAAATTCAAAGCATTTTTTCTGTTTTCACCTCCCTTGTGTTTTCTTCACACTCAAGGTTTCATCAAATTGTATTCCATGTCTGAAAAGTAGGAAGGTTCATTAGCTTTGTTATTTCAAACATTCATTGTAGATGAAAGAATATAGTTTTTAATGTTATTAAACTGAAGAACAGGCAAATTTAATTTTTGATGAAAGAAGCATATGAGGTACATGATGTAGATTTTGTGAGCTGCTTGGCCTTTTTGTTCTAATAATTCCTTGAAATAAGTCATTAATCACAGGTGGAAACCACTACTCTTACACATTTTTGTGAAACAACATTTGCATAGAACAGGAAGGCTGAGAACCACAGTTTTACTAAATCATTCTGTAGTGTTTTTGTAGATAACCTGATAATGTCTTGTAGGATAGAGGTGAAACTACAAGATAAATGAGCATGCTGTGAAGCGAACAGTGTCCTTACGTGCAGCTTTAGCAAACAAGCCCCAGGTACACCAGAGAACACCTTAAGATAGCTGTCAAAATGGAGTCAAATCCTTGCTGATTTATTTTTCTGAGAATTCTATTCCTTATTGAAGGTGAAAATTCCAGTGAAAAGATACCTGTAAATAATGCTTCTGTAAGGACCTGGTGTATTAGGATTATATCACTTGTTTGTAGTCTTTGCTAGTAATTGTACTATTTTTGTAGTCTCTAATTGTAGAGAATAAGGAACTTTAAAATGTCATATGTGCCAAAGCATTTGAGATTATGTAGATAGATGTACTTAGCACTAGCTTGAGAATTCTAAAGGGTTTTTTCTTGCCTATTAATGAGCCTTCATTAGTGCTCTACTTTTAGAACGTGATCTTGGGTTCTGCAGAAATCTTGTACTCAAATTTAGTTACTGGTATTCTAGTTTAGAGACTGGAACAATTAGCTAATTCTATGTAGTTGATCTCATTCTGTCCATTAATCATGTGCTCTGCACGCTAGAAGTAAAAATCACAAAGCCAAAACCTGAAGTTCAGGCTGTGTCAAATCTGTGATGTAAGCTCCCAGAAATGAAGCAATTCTTAGGGGAGGCAAGAAGCTGTTGCCATCCAGTTGTATTTTACAGCACTGACACATCTGCCAGTGCTAGTCTCTGGGTTGGGTAAGGACAGAGTGATTGCTTGAAATCCTGACAGCTGTTTGACGTTTAAATCACAGATGTCATTAACAGGTTCTTAATTCCTGCCTGCTTTATGATAGGCAAGATACAGAAGTGATATAAGGGGATGGGATTTCTTCAAATCTAAAGCCTTTACATAGGCTTGGGGATGAGTCTTAATTTAATGGAATCGAAAAGTATCATGCATCAATGATGTGGCTAGGAATTATCTAAATAATGTATGTTCTGTAGCAAGTGACTTGCCAGTGCTTTCTATGATGTGCTGATAACAACTAAAATACTGGCAGTATTTAGAATTGTGATTTCCAGATCTTGAGAATCTAAGAACTGTGAAGCAGAAATAATGAGGACTGGTGGCCAATATAAATGTTTTTGTCTAATTGAGGTGCTTTTTCCTTTTCTGTTACTGCTGATTATGGAGAGATTTTTGATTAACTAGGGCTTTTTTTTTCAATAACTGTCTTATTAGGCCTGTTTTTTTTTTGTTTTTTTTTGTTTGTTTTTTGTAGTGATTCTTTTCTTCTATCCTTACTTTTCAGAAGCTCAGTGATGTGGAAACTGATCTGTCGAAGATAGAGGCAAGGAATATTTTTTTATCCAGCAAACCCTATTTCTTCATTCAGACCTCAGATGTAAAGAAATCTCAAAGGCTACGTTGTACTGTTGTGGTTTCAAGTTACACAGGTATATTGTAGCCAAATATTAAAAATAAAATAAAATAAATCTAAATTAATGCAGACTCCAGGGGTTTTAAATTTAGTGGCTTTAGGTGGGATTAAATTTAGTACGTTGGTACAACTTTATGTAGTACCCAGTAAAAAGCAATTACACTGTAGTCACTTTTGCAATAGTTACTTCATAGAAAGGATTCAGTGTGAGCTTAAGGAATTACTCCCTTACCAGTCGTGTTCCTGTACTGCCCGTTTTGCCTGGGTAATGGTTTGAAAAGTAATCCTGTAACAAGATTCCTGAAATTCCCTCAGAAATATTCACACTCCTCTCCCATCCTATTTATTTTTATTTTACTTTTTATCTGCTTGCTTCGTGGCCCCACAAAAGGCTGCTTGGTTCAAGGATATCGAGGAGGAGGGAGCTGGGAGCAGTGTTGCTGTTGAATTGCTGTGTAGGAGCTTTGCCTAAGGCCCTGCTGATAATTAACAGGTTTGTGACGGTCCAGTGACCAGATCTTGAAGGGAAGGATGACAAGATAGGAAGAATAATGGTGTGATGGTGTGGAAAGGGAGAGAACTGGGCAGCTGCTGCTGCTCCTGCAGTTCTGCTTGTTTTCAGAACTGGCAGACTGGTTAAGATGTCATTTGGAAGCTGGTCAGAAGGAGGCAGAGAGTACACAGAGCTGGGTGTTTGGGTGCAGAAAAAGAAGGGTGTATTCTGGTGCAAACACAGCTCAGTGAAAAATAAACTGTTCGTGTGGGGGATTTCACTGTAACAATGTCCAATATCTATGTATTAAGCAAAGCTATTTGGCTAGTCCACGTCGATTGCTGTTGATGACAGCAAAACAGAAGGAATGATCTATGTTTTCACTTGCTGTCTTGAGCCTTGCACACACTTAGCTAACATTAATGCTAATGGCTGTTTAATACTCTATATGGAATGTGCAGGGGAAGCTTTCACCATGGCGAGTCACTGACAGATGTTTACATTGTAAAAGCCTCCATTTCAAACAGCTTCCCTGCTCACAACCAGCTCCCGGGAGAGGCAAAGGGCTTTGTAAGTTTGGAGATCAGTTTCCTCTTCTTTCTTTCTCTGTCCGCCTATCAAAATGTTGATGCATGCAGATGGTTTGGGGATCTACCAACAGCAGTATAATTCCTGACATACAGGTTTTAAAAAGGATTGGGTTTTGTACATCTGTCCCTTCACAGGCAGTACCGTTTCTTAAAGGACAGCAGTACCGTTTCTTAATGGACAATAGATGACATCTGCTGAACTGGCTGTCCTGCTTGTGTTCTGACTACGTTATTTTAACCAGTGCGTGACCTGGCAGGAAACAGTGACTTTGCATTCTGAAGTTTTACCTTTGGTCACTTCAACTTGCTTCTTTTTAGCTGTCAGCTGTCTGTTTTAGAGCACAGTGAGCCTCAGAATGCTTGTCTAGAGGAAAAAGAGGGGAAAAAAAGCCCACATCCTGAGACTTGGACTTGACAATTTCTAAAATATTTACAGAGAACAGAAAATCCAATTACATCAAAGCCGCCTGACGGGCAGGCAGCAGCACACGATGCTCAGCTAACGAGGGGTTTTGATGGCTTGGAACATTTCCCGGTTGGGCTCCCTGGGCTGGGAGGGTTTAGCAGTTGGCAGAGGTGAGATCTGTATGCTGGCATCTGATCCAAGAGCTTGGGTCAATCTGGCGGCACAAAAGACTCCATTCCTGTGTTGGCTGGAGAGACAGCACACTGCTTGTGCATTGCTGTAAAGGTCACTAAGATGCCAGCTCTTTCCCCGAACTATTTATCAGATTTCTGTTGTTCTGCTATTTGCCTAATGTTTATTGTCTAATATATTGTGTTCTCCCTCGATGTGTAGTATGGTCTGAAGAGCTGAAGCTGGTAACTTGGCTTCATCTTGTTGGATACTGAGCGGTTTTCCAGGAAACTTCAGCGTGATGACATCAGTAGAGCAAGAACAGCAGCATGCAGATATGAATCTTCTTTACCCTGGTTGGTCTGGGTAAGCTGCAGTCCATATGGTTCTTGGAATAAACATTTGCAAAGCCTGTCTGCTGGGAAGCCAGCAAGTATCTGCAGTCAGTGACTGAGGAGCTTTTCTGCCTTGGAATACTTGATGGGCTGGTAGCCAGTGATGCTGCAGGCAGACCAAATTGGCAGAAAGCCTAACCTCAGGTTTTGGTTTTCCTCCTTAGGTCCACAGTGGAACCAAGAAGGAGGCAACGTTCGCGTGGACTGAGCGGGCTGTCAGTCTGGTGGACCTGAGTGATCTGGAATGCAGGCGACTTCCGAACTGGCCCGGATCATGCAGTTCGTGCCTTCTGTAAGTTCAGTTGTCTCATATGCTGAAATATCTGTTTAATGTGGGGAAAATCAGGCATTATTCTGAAAAATAGCCCTTCCTATGTTAGTGTAAATTCAAGCTGACCTGGATAACTGCTGGATTCTGCTGCTGCTGCTGATTGTTGCAAGAGGAGAAGCTGTGTATGGAGGTGGACTTTAATGTTTCCTCAGCTCGCTAGGACAGCTTTTAATAGGCAGGCAGGAAGGTGACTCCAGCTAACCACTGTTCTGCAGAGGATGTCACACTGCAACTCAGACAATTAGATAAGGCTGCAGGATTCTGTTGAATGTTCACTTCCCTTACCAAAATGTTGGGCTCTAAGAAGTTTTAAGGACCTTCCACCCAGTAACACTCCATCCCTGGAAATATCTGAGTTTTTGCAAAAGGGACTGAACTCTTCCCGTGCTGTTCTTTGATTTCAGCTTTTGTTCTTGCTACCTCTATTGTCTGAAAAGAGCGAATAGGAAGCAGGTTGGTTTGATCTCCCTTTGTGCTGTGATCTACCATCCGTGCCATCAATCCAGAGGTTTTAAAGGGCAGAAGGAAGAATGGGCACCATCTGGCCTTACTTGGGTGTCGAGACACACACAGGGGCTAACCTCACCTGCTGCTGGGCTCTTGGCCTTGGGAAGGAAACTCCCAAAGCTCCTGGGCATGGCCTGAAGGGAAATGTTGCTTGCTGCAGGTGAGGCTGCTCTTCATCTCCCCTGCCCTGAGGGAAGGGAAAAGCGTGTGTCCTATTTCTAACCCTGGATTACTCGTAGTGCCAGCCCTGTGATGGCTGCATTTTCACTAGGATGCTAGGGAGAGGAATTGAGTGGTTCTGTGGGATGTTGCCAGTGGAGCTTTCACTGAGATGGAAGTGTCCTGATGAGGACTTCAAAGACAAATGGCAGCTGGTGAGGGGAGGAGGCGAGCTCTTAATCCCATTATGCTGTAAAAGCAGGGCAACAGCAACTCCATTTTGTGAAAGGCCGGATGGTGTTAAGTCTTTCAGCGTACATCTGTCAGAAAAAAAGCCCTCGTGCTTCGGGCTGAGGACTGCCTAATGAGCGTGTGGAACCTGATTAGCAGAGGAAGAGCTAAATGCTGAACTGGTCTTACCAGTGCAGCTCCGAGCGCACGCAGAAAGGCAGTGTAAGGTGTCAGAGCAGTTCCAGGAAGAAAAGAGAAGTGTCCCAGGGAGTCTGTGTGCTCCGGGATCAGCGTCAACTGGAGAAAGGAATTTTCCAGGACTTTAGGTGCTTGAATTTTACTTCAGCACTTTTATTATCTCTGCCCCTCAACCCAAACTAAGGGAACATCTCGTTCCCCACTGCTGTGGGCAGCCACCAGCAGCACTCGCCTTCCTCTGTTTGTTCCATGCGCTGATACAGATCTAGTGCTGTGCAGTGTACACAGTCATTCTTCGGGCTAGTTTTGGCACGTTACATGCAGCTTTTTGCTGTTTTATTGCGGAATCTGATTGACACAACGCTGGGATGTCTGTGGAAATGTCTGCAGTGTCGCTCTGGGAGATTCCGTAATTCCGCAAGGCAGAGAACTTGTTAAAGCAGGCTCGGGGTGCTTTGGGAGCTTGGCCTTGTTTTCTGAGAGGCCAGCTGCGGTTTGCAGGCATCGTCTGATGGGCTGGAGACTGAGTCAATGCTGCAGCCATTTCCTTCTGGTTTTCTTTTTGATCCGTGAAACGCCTGGGAGCTGTGTTGAAGAGCAGCACGGTTTTGGCAAGCAGTCTGTACCCAGTCAGTGCTGCCTGGCAGAGGCTGAGATTTCCAGCACCTGCCGGTTGTTTGTGAGCACGGGGGGGTGGATTCTCGTGTTAGGAGTTCAGCGAAGGTACAAAGCCTCATGGTGATGTCCTGAGAAACAGCGAGTTTGTTCTTCTAGGGGCGGAAAGGACACACATTGCAGTGAGCTCAGGGGTGGTGGGAGCTTTTTCTTTTGTGCCCCTCTTTTGCTTGGTGAAGGTTGGTCTCAAACCTCGACTGAAGGTCTCTGCTAGTGCTCGAGTCCTGCAGGAGGGCAATGATAAGATAAACTGACTTTTAAGTTACAAATTCTGTCTGGGGTGTCGTGCCTCACTGAATGCAGGGCAGGGCAGGAACAGGCGCGAGACCAAAGCGTCGCTGTTTTGCAATCACAATGCACTGGAGCTGTGTGACTTGGTTCTGGATGCATGAGCTGGTTGCAGCTTGATTGTTAGCCTCTGATGTTATCTCACCCCAATAGTAAAGCAGTGTTCTTTGCCTGCCTCGGTAGGAAAAATTGACTCTGCCACCTGCAAAAATAGCATGGGTTTATAGCAGCCCAGGCTTATCAGGTCTGGGGATTTTGTTGTTGTTTCTGAAGTCTATTTCAGTTGATTATGGCAGCTCAGTCTCAGAGAAACACTGAGCTGGACACCCCAAGCAGCTCTTGGAGGCTGGCCATTGCTGAAGAGCAAGACTACAGAATTTTACTTCTCTTAAAGCTGGTGATGTCAGCAAAATCCTGTGTTATTCCTAGGATTATGTGCAAGTGGGAGTTCGTACAGCCTCCAGAAGAACTAATTAAAAGGGAAGTTTCTGGGTGCTCTCATGATTTTGCGCATTCCCTTCAAGCTGCTCCAGGAGGCTGATGAAGATAACTCTTACCATATGAATTCGGGTCCCTCTCTCTCTATTTAAACACACAGCAGGGGCCTTGACCTTGTTAGGCAGGCAGCTGAGCCTGCTAAACCCATGTCAGAAGGCTTCTGAGCACTCTGAGCTTGGTGACTACTGATCTTGCAGGGTTTCTTCAGCAGCAGTAGAGCTGACCTACATTTTCCATGTCAGCCCCTGGTCGCCGCTCTCGGTGCTGCCCCACTTAGCTTAGAGCTTTCTGTGCAGCGTCCCGCGGGCTTTGCTGAGCCTCAGCTCTGGGCTGCAGTTAACTGCTTCTGAGGTGTTTGTGGCTGATAGCAGAACCTGAGGCCATGACTGCAGTTAGATTGGTTCCCTTCGGTATTGATTGTGCATCTTTGGTTTGGGCATCGAATGACACAGCAGCAGGCTTGTGTTAGATTGCTGGGGACAGAAGTCAGCCGGTGGTGGGGAAGGTGTGTGGTGCTCTGGTGGAGTTTGGTTTAGAGCAGCTGAATCGTTGGGGATGAAATGTTCTAAAACTGTCTTCAGGTGCTCAGGGCTCTGCAGGCTGAGCAGAGGGTGGGATGCTCTTCTTCATTCTGCGGCTTCTGTGGGCTCGGCCCGTAGATTTTCCTGAGGCTCTTTTTCAGAGCTGAGGTTGTGAAACAAATGAGCTTTCTCCTCTACCAAGTGCTTTCCTCATTTCTCACCCACCAGCCTGGGGGTGGCTGTGGGTTCAGATCTTACGCAGTCACATTCACCTGGCTGTGAGCTGGGGCTGTTTTCTGCCTCCTGTCCTGGAGCTTGATGTAATTTGCCCGTAATTCCTGAGGGTGCTGGGAACCATTTCTCTTCCCTCCGCAGCTGTCAGAGTGGGGCCCATCCATGCAGTGCTTTGGAGCCAGGGCTGTGCAGCGAGGTGAGGAGGAGGAGGGGGGCGATGAAGCTGTTTATCTCAGCATCTCTTACCCCACATGCTCTCGCACTTGAGTACCTAGCAACCCACTGAGCTTCACAAAGTTTTCTCTGTGTGGCTCTACTCCAGAAGTGCTGCTTGCAGTTCATCTGGGGACTAGTTATGCTTGCAGATCATAACTAAAAAAAAATGTTTAAAGCTAAGTTAAGGGTTTGGTCTCAGTTCACTCCCCAGTGCTGTGCTGTCAATGCAGAAATGCCGAAACCATCCTCGCACCGTGGCAGCAGTACGGAGTAGAAGCTGAAGCTGTTTTCTGAACAACGAATTAATATAATTGTCAACAGCACCGATACCAAACGTACAGACTGGCAAGTATTTATGAAAGTAGAAAAGAGGGCATCAGCTCAGCTGGGCAGCAGGAGTAACTTTTACAGGCTGTTGCTACACCGTGTGTGTGTGTTCTGAGAAACTGGACTTCAGCTGCCTGTAGTCGATAAAGAGAGCTTTGTTTTTCTTACCATTTCCTGAACACCAGCCTAGAGATGTTTGCTAATGGGGCAGTTTCTTCCCTAACGGGCTGAACAAATGATTTTAATTGTTTAGCTCAGGTGTCTGCACAGTGTAATGGACAGCTGCTGTTTGTTGGCCTGTGCTGGGAGCAGCTCCGGGAGGTTATTTGGTGACAGTGCTGTTGGTGTGCGCAGGAGCCGGTCTATAAATAAGGTGGAGGGAAGAGCTGCAGCTGCAGATAAAAGCTGTGCTGAACTCGGTTCTGACAGCCTTGGCCCAGAGGTTAGGAGCAGAGCTCAGCTTGCTGGGAACAACACTACCATAGTAGGAAGCAGCCTTCTCCTCCAGCCCTATGTATTAATGCAGCGCCGACCATCATATAGCGGAGCTCAGCCGCGGAATTCGGCTCTAGTATTTTTAAACCTCGTGCTGTTGTGTTTGAAGGGGCTCAGACATGTCACCTAATTTGGATAACGCTGTTTGCTGGCGCTGTGCTGGTATCATGGGCTAGTTGGAGAGGCATTACAGTTAATTTAAAACGCATTACTCCCCTTTGAAGTTGGCTGAAGTTGCAGAGTTAGAGAGGCTCTGCTTGTGCCCTTACTTCCCTCCTCTTACTCCAAACAAAACGTAGTTTATAGGAGTCAGAGCAGAGCATTACAGGACACTTGGCTAACCCAGCTTTTACCCTTCGGAGTGCTTTAGCCTTGCCTAACACTGTAACGAGGGCTCTGATGCTGTGACCTGGTGGGACCTGCACTGCTGCAGCATGCTTACCGGCAGAATTGCCTAAGTCTTGAGGAAGGGAATAAGCCATGACTAACAAAAGCAGCTGTAAGCAGGCTGGTCATGGCTTGTAGCAAATGCACTCTTGGTTAATCTTCCTTCTGCCTATGGAAGGTGGAAGGGGCCAGCAGCTACTGAGGGCTGGGGCAATTTAGGAAATAGAAAAGGACAAAAAATAGAGATGTAGTTGGGAAAGAAATGTTTATTTTAAGTTTCTCAGAGGGATTTACAAACAATGGAGCATTTTAAAAAAAATTGAGTGATCAAAGTACTTGACAGTGTCCCTTAAACACACACACAAGCCCCTGGACAGAGGAAGTCACACCAGCGAGGAGGTCAATACTGCTGGAAGAGCAGCTGGCATCTGCATAGTTCTAGAAGGAAAGATTGCAATGCTGTTGGTGCAAATATGTGTCATCCTGGCATTAATATAAGAGCACGCTGAAGTATGTACGCATGTACCTGCGGAAAACAAAGTGCATAAAATAACACACAAAGTATGTATTGTAGAATAAATTTATTTACCTGATACAAATGAAACTAGGTGTGATGCTTCTTACTGTCAGCATGTAAATAGACAACTGATCTTATTTACAACTTCTAAAGGTCATACATGCAGTTGTGGTAACTGGCTAAATCATTTGCTGCTTTCTAAATAAATGCATCACAATATTTTGTATTGCACCAACATCTGTCTTACTGCCTTAAATTTAAATAAGTTACATTACAGTGCAAAACAGGTTGATTTGCACACATGATAAAAAAATCCAAAGGTATGAATTGGAGGCTTACAGTTTAACATTCATCTGTAATCTTTTCAATGAGTTTTATAAATAGGATAGCATTGTACATAAGCTGTTATAGAGTAGTATGTTTGGATGATACAATACAGAGATTTGTCTACAACCGAAGGCATGCAGTTTTGATATTGTACATTTTATAAACTGACATTTTACATACAGGAATATGGAAAATTGGCTGACAGCTCGGCGATTCTTGTTCAAAGATAAACAAACTCTTCTCCATGCTGCACAGAACCCAAACTTCTCTGGAGAGAGTTTCCAATTCTGTAACTATATTGCACATTTGTACATCTGAAGTCCTAATGGTACCACACATTTCTTCCACAGAGAACACAATGAGTTTTGTTTTTAGGGAAAGCAAAGAATCTTTACACATGATACATGCAGAAGTTTTGGTAGATGTGTTGCTAAAAACACATGCACGCAACAAAACAACCTTACATTTCTGCAAAATTGTTTAGGAAGCGATTACTCCAGTATTGCTGAAAAGGAAAGAAAGAAAAGGAAACAGTTAATAAAAGGATGAATGCAAAGTATCATTGTAAAAGCAAGACTAAGATCAACAGTGACAGAAGAAAGAATGTTAAGTCTGATAACAACTGCTCTGTCATTGAAGGGACACTCTCAGGTTACTTTGTTCTTAAAGCCCAGGACACTCTGGATTATGTCTCAGCTCTTCTGAATTCAGCAGAGCTCCCTTTATCATCAAAGTCAGCACCTTCTCCAGAAGACCATAAATGAAGATGAATTGAGGTATGTTTGGATAGCGTTTGCATTTCTTTGCCTGACTAGTGGTAATAGTAAAAAGTAAAGGGAGACTCGTCTGTCTTTTAGCTTCTTATAGTACCCAGTTTGAGCTATTTTTTTCCCCTTTAAAATAAATAATCTTGAAGAGTGTTCTTTTAATTGAGGCATTATAGTGCAAGTTTGGCCCTGAAGTGACCTAACAATGTCCCTTTTTTAAGTTACGCAGCTTATTCTGGGAAGCAGTAGGAAAGCTCCGAAGAAGTCATTAAACTACACAGATTAATGCGTAGGCAAAGGGTAGAGTACAGTATAACTACTGGACTTTACCCCTAAAATACAGCGAAAGGTTAGCCTTGGGTCTGGAAAAAGTGTACTCTGATTGCCTAGAACTAAAGGGTGGCTCTTCAAAACATTGCTTAACACTAAAATTTAGGCTCTCCTGCTAGGATTTGAGAATGCATAATATTAATGCAATTAAGGATGTAATTAGCAGAGATTAGGGAAACAGTTAATGGTTAGAAGTGCAAGAAGGTAAACAAGACAGGTGCAAGAGACAGACAATTTTGTATCAGTTTTTACCTCCCTTCATCTCAGCAAATTTAACCATCTTTAAGCAGTTTACCACATATAGTCTGTGCATCAGCTGTGTTCTTCGAACAGTGACAGAGGACTGCTGTACTGCATTTTATCATCAGATTAAGAACTCATTTTCTTACCATGAGCTTTCTCCAGAACGGCCTCTCTACAACCATCAGCTTTGCAGCACTGTGAGAGACTGGGATGTATTTTTCTGCAGCTTCTTTCATACTGATTTATTTGCGGTAATGCTTTGAGAAACCAACCATGGACTAATTTTAGTGCCTGGATACAGGCAAGAAGGAGCAGCTTGAGTTGTGCAGCTCAAAACCAGTACTTTGAATCACTGCCATTTGAAAGCTGAGAGCACCTGGGGCATGACAAAGATAAAAGCCCTTGTCTCCATGTTGCTGGCATATGACTGCAGCTGCCTGACCATCCTCTTTGCTCTGCTTTGGACCAGCCCACAGAACACTGAATTCAGGAGGCACTGCTGTCATAGCAAAACCCACTGGTTTCCCAGCATAAGCTGGGATCCCTCCTGGTGTTTCTCACATATGGTACCATCAGTCACAATCAACATTTAATCTTACACACCCCTCACGTGCTAGAAAACAAGCAAGGTGTGAGGAATTCAGAAGACCAGAGAGATGAAGCTCAGTGAGATGAGAGCAAAGGGAAACAAAAGGAATGAAGTTATCTTCTTAAAGTTGAGATGGGAAATAAAACCTGAAAGCCCACAGCAGAGCAATTTTAGTGCTGGGTGCTTGACCACAGGGGAAGAAGCACATGGTAAGTCTTAATGTTTGGCCAGTCCAGACCACACCAGGCTGGCCTGCATCTTATAGTGGCAACACCTGGAGAACAGAAGTACTGAAGTATAACAGCAGTTGTCACTGAACCAACAATAATGAAGTACTGATCATAGGGAACCCTATTGCTCCATTTCTGCAAAGAGGTCTAGACAGCAAGACCAGGAGACATCTAAAAATAATAAAGAAAAGCAAGGTAGGTTAAGATCGCTTGGGCTCTTTAAGCAAACCCTACAAAACCAGGCTCCTGAGGTTGCAGAAGTAGTCAGGAGGGATAAATGCCACTCCATTCGCCCACCAACAGCCTAGCTTTCAAAGGTAAACTCCAAGAAACAGAAGGCTCCTACTGCAAGTGAGACCCTGAGATAACTGATAGAAGTGAGCCCTCAGCAAGATTTGTCTTCAGCATACACAACTGAGTGTGCCAGACAAAGATTCAACAGAACGTGTCAAAGACTGAATTTTAATTTATCCATTTTCCCCTTCAGTGTCTTAGAGATGGGGAGAAAGGTGTTGTATACAAGAATTATTTTGTGTAATAGACAGGAAAAGAACTGTACAAGAATTGCTCTCAACTACTGCCACATACATGGCTTAGAAAAGCACAGCTCTGGAGGTTTACACAGAGCCATTGCTCAAAGATTCAGTGGCTATTCCTGCCCCCTTGAAAAAAATCTGGCCACAATTCTATTGTTTCCAACAAATGACAATGGACGTGGATATATTTTGATCTCAAGGAATTCTAAATTACATGACCTGTAAGTTTCCTGTTTGAAGAAACAGGAGCAAGCCTTAAAATGCTCAGTTAGTATTCAGACAGCATCTGACTGGTGCTGGCCATCGGTTTTGTGGTATGCAAAACATCCAGGTTGGCAAAGACAGGTTCCTCCTTACACAGAGGGCATTCAAGCGAGTTCAACGCTTACAGCTCTACAAAAAATCTCTTACATCATTTCTATCTCCCCCTACCTGAGTCACTTCTGCATCAGTTAAAGTATATCAATGTTTACATAAACAGGGAGTATTCGCAATGCAGTGGACTTTCAAATCAGGTCTGTATTCTGAGGCTGGCATGTATATCTGAAAGCTTGAAACCTAAAGGATTAATCTGTGCTCACTGGATTCCAGCTGGCTCTAAAAGAGCAGAGAGGAAAATGGTAGTTAAAAGCTATGAGGAGTAAGAAAGCTGTTTGAATTTGGTTATTAAAGCAGATTTCAAGCCAACACAAGATAACACAGCACCTGCTACTCAACAAAGGCATTATGACCCTCGTACAATTTTCAAAGACTATCCTGTGAAGCCAAGACTGTTCTTTTGTCTTTTTGTATGACCACTGTTCAAAGTGTTTCCATTCATTGGAAACAATAAGCTGCTTTTGCAAAGAGGAGCAGAGAAGCACCTGCGCATTGAGCACTGTGTGGATTATTCCTAGAGAAGGGCTGGTGTGCTCAGAGGAGGACAAAACCTCAGAGTAAACCAGCACCTGACCATGAGTACTAGTGTTCTGCACACTAAACATTCATATAAACACCTGTCATTGTCTTAAGTTACAGATTTATCCAATTTTATCTTGAACTTAAGACAAAGCTGTAGGATCTTGGGGTACACTAAGGCTCCTGGCTGCTCTAAAACAAGCTCTAAAATGCACTAAAACAAAAGCAAGCGCTTTACCTTCAGAATCAGTAATTTCAGCTTCACACCATAAAACGAGAGTCTAAAGTGGTGATAATAATGTAGCACAGCAGAATTTGACAAAACACAGCATGGGAATGAAGGAAATTACTATTTATTCTTCAACATGTATACAGCATATGCTATTTTACAGCAAGTCACCACTGGCATGGTGAAATGGAAGAGAAATACTCACTTTAGTCGATGAAAGTTGGAAGGCATTGGAGAAAAACACCACAGTTAGGACTGTTAATGACTTACACGTTGTTGATACAGGACTGAATTTGAAAACATGCTTTAACATTTACCGTAATAATGAAGGTGGTTAGTGCCACATTAAAATAAAAATAGTTCTATACAATATGTTCAATTTGGTCATGTGCTATTTACAGATTTTACAAAACACACACACGAGCTTGTTACTTCAAGTCAGGCTAACAACAGGCCAGCAGAGTAACTCCATGTATACAACTTAGCATTAGTGCCCTAAGTGTAGGAAATCCAATTTCTAGCTATGCAGTGCAAGTTATTTTTCCAGGTCTCATTACAAGTTTTGATCTTAAAGGGGGAAGAAAAAAAAAAGATCTGACACATGTAAGTAAGGTATTAAAACTCAACTTAAACGCTCTTTTGGAATTAAAACAGACTGTGTTGGTTAAAAAGGCTTGGTTTAGATTTAAGTAGACAGAAGAAAACCTCCCTATCCCTGCATCATGGGCAACACTGGCAAAATAAGGTCTGTTACAATAAAAATACAATAGACACTTAAATAAATAATCTTTAAAAAAAAAAACTGTGTGTTGAGAATATGGAAGAACCCCAGCAGGCTGCACCTGGAATGATATTTTCTGCACGAGCAAGATTAGGCATACCTCATACAGAAACTGGTGTAAACAAGGACAGTCAAGAACCAAGAGCAAGGGAGCAGGAAGAGGGGATACAGAAGAAATCCTGACCAAGGTAGCAGTACTCTCTACCCAGTGCAGAAAGTTTGGCTTATGAAAAAAATAAAACCTGACTGTATGACAAATTAAGTTGGGATGATCATGCAGAAGACAAACAGTTACATGCTTTTTTTTCTTTTTTTTTTTTTTTTTAGTTTCAGACAACACACATTCATTCCCTAAAATCTGCTGCCAATTTAGTTTGATAGTGTCCGCTGGCTCAAAAAAATTTACTTTTTTTTTACATGATGAATAGACTATTGAACAGAACACTGTACATGCTTTTCATCTACAAAAAAATTGCATAAAATAGTGTTAGTTCTCTGTACATGTCAATGGACACTTTAACTGTGTATAAAAGAGGAATATATTGCCCCCACTGAAGTCAGAAAAAGCAAAAAACCAAAATCTAGAGTATGAAACCTCCATCACCGGCAAATATGTTCATGTGAAAATTCAGCAGAAATAGACAGTTGCTCTAAACAATAAAAAAATTGATTAAGTTAAACTTTTTCTTTCAATGTAAAACTGTCACCATGTCAGTCAAGACCAGAACATATCACTAAAGTTAGTGTCTGTGCTGTAAAGCCAGATAACCAAGGGCATAGTAATGAACACAAATGGCCAGGAAACTCCTTCGGTGCATGCTGACAAAGAACACGGTTTGGTGGCAGGCCGCACACTATCTTTACCAGGTTCCAGGTAGTTACGGGCCACGTATTTAAGTGTTTCATCCAGCAGAATGACAGGTAGTGAGATTTTCAATACCATCAGCCATTGCGTCACATTCAGAGGTGTGATCTGGAAGATAATCTGAAAGAAAAGCCAAGTATTACACCTCTGCTCTTCCTCCACCCCTTGTCTCAAGCTCCCAACAAGTTTTTGCTCCATCTCCAAGCTCAGAGATGAGGATATAAAGTACTTACTGGCAGCGGTTCCACGTAAAGGATAAGGAAGTGGAGTGACATGGACAAGCAGATAGCGCCCACCAGCCAGATATTCTCCCACGGGGGCATCCTCATTAAGGACTGGTTTTCTGACAGACTGCAACAGAAACACAGTACATGTGTGTACGTACAAGATACTGATAGGAAATTCAGTAAATCAGAAAAGAGCTGGAAAGAGCAGCAAGGCAAGCCCCAGTTATCCCAGTCATGAAGGAAAGGACACCAAAGCATGGTTTAAGTAAGTTACAACTTTAGATTACCCTGGAAGACTGCTTCACAGAGTGACCACAGTTCAGTCTCACGTTTGTTTTTGAAAGCTTTTGTGCATTCTGCCCATTCCTGACCTAATCTACTTTTTTTTTTTTGCTAAGACCCTGACATCCTCTCCACAGGTGTGGAGAGAGAATAGAATGCTGGGTACAACAGCGTGAGACAGAATCCTCCTGTCTGTCAGCTGCTGGGGCCCTATTTCTCCCTCCCCATTTCCTCCAAAGGTCAGTTATAGACTGGAAATAAAGAGGAGGCCATGTACTTGTACCACTTGTACCTTCTTCATGCTTATTCTTTAAATCCACTCCAGATTCAATCTGCAGAGGAGTCTGAGATACAGAACACCAAATGTAGAGCAGTACCTTACTATGTAGGACTACCACAGCACACTTAATTTTAAAAACCAACTTTAAAGTGACCTCTAAGCTATTTGAAGAAAATATCCTTGACATTGTGCTACTTAGTGGTTTCCATTTATAATAACATTAATTGGCTAAACCCACACTCCCTTCGGGCAGGAAAAATTATTTTCCATATCTTCAACATTCTTATTTTAGTTCTCCTTGATATCACATGGGAGGGATAATCTGATTAATTAAGCTCAGATTAAAAGTAACGGAAAATATGTCAGTTGCTTATGCTTAGTAAAGTGCCAGAATGAACTGACAGAATTAAAAATACACCTTATGATAAGGGATCTCAATTGTTATCTGAGAGTCATTTTGTTTGCACTGCCAGGATTTGGAAAGGAAGTATGACTCATTACTCGTTGAGCTGTCCACATACTCTGAACCAAGCTGCATAGAAGGTGGGATTTTGGATAAGCTACGCAAAAGCTTTGCTTTCTGATGTGGAGATACAAACCTGTTGAGAGCATTGCACATCTCTATGGTGACAAGTACAGAAAGAGCCATCGTCATTGGATACGGAGACTCAAACACCACACAGTCGACACCAAAGAAGTCAGGGTTGTCCTCTTTGCACTGCAGAAAATGGCTCTAGAACAGAAAAACACGAACTCATTTCTACAGCTCGTTAACTTTTAAAATGTAAAGTAGGCTATTAGGAAGTAAGTAGTATCATAAAAAACTTCAAATATGAATCCTACAAGCACCACACTACAGGAGAGACAAGTGTCTAATATGACACTACAAGCACCAGAAAAACAAAAAGTTTTTGCCAGCTTCAGAAAAATTTCGGTTAGTCTTTTATTTACAAGACACCCCTCAGTCCTCTGAATTGTTTAGCAGCTCAGATATGCCACCTTTGAGCTTGATCACAATTGATTAGTCTTTAAAATAAGTTTTACTTTAACAAATCCGAAAGAATATCTCATTACATAAATCTTTTTAAAAATAAGCTACTGTTTTTTCTTGAAATGACTGTAGAAAAAAAAATGTATAAAAGGAATGTGCCCCTTTCCCTGGAGAAACTAAACAGAGCACGTACCAGCTGATAAAAGGTAACTCTTGGACCACCATCAGCAGCAATAAACCACCAAGCAGCAGCACCCACTGTGGCAGCACCAACATAACCTTGAGGAAAACAAACAACTTTTTTCAGCGTTGTGAACTTTATGCAAGAGAACATCTCACTTGCCACACCTGAACTTCTACTTCGAAACCTCCGAGTACTGAAAAAAAAAGTAGACTAATTTATCTAAAAGATACATCTGGAATCTAATTAAAAGTTTCTGATGAAGTGGTAGATGTCTTACTGATGTTATGCAACTATAACTTTTTCTGCCTCTGTTGTTAGCAATGAAAAGAAAAAGTTACTGCTTTACCATTCTATCATAGCACTGCCTGCAAATACACAAAACAGTGAATCTCAAAATAGAATACCAATTCTACAGATCATCTATTGCTAGTTTTCAGAACTTGAGCAAAAGTTAGACACTGATTTCAAAGTGGGCCTCAAAAAATCTACATGCTGTAGTTAAGAGAAATAAGAAAGCTCTTACTACTTACATCCAATAGCTAGGTAACGGAAGAATAGCCATCCACTGATCAGTGGCTCTTTAGGGTTGCGGGGTGGCTTATTCATGATATCAAGATCAGGAGGATTAAAGCCCAGAGCAGTAGCAGGGAGACCATCCGTCACAAGGTTTACCCATAACAGTTGGACAGGAATTAGAGCTTCAGGAAAACCCAGGGCAGCAGTCAAGAAGATACTATAAGAAAACCCACCAATTATAAGCTTATTTTTGTGAACGCAAATAAGTTTTTTAATGCTTAAGCTTAAAGCATCCTTTCTGTTCTCTCACATGGAGTTATCCATTTCATATCACAAACAGCATTAAAGTTTTTAATGCTTTAAAGTCTACAAAAAATAGGGCAAGACAAATGCTGTATTATATTCTGCTCAGGGAGAAAGTATGCTTTGATGTAAGCAACAGTTAGGAGATCAATACTTACATTCTGTGGCACTGGGGCAACATTTCTCCCCAGGACATGTAAGAGACTTTCTTCCGTAACTTGAGGTTTAAGTTACAGAAACATTTAAATGTTGCTATGTTATCTGAAATAACAGATCTTATAAGATTTTGTCTTCTTATTTTTACAATTAAGTTCCACAGAGAAGCATTCCAAACACAGAAGTAACTAAAGCATCTTAGCCACCTACTGAGCTAGAGTATTATATAAAATGCAACGCTCAGCTTTTGTGCTATGCTAAAGTTCTCCAGTAAATGCTACTGACCCTGGAAGTATACAGACCTCATTCCACACAGTCACAATGAGCCAACTACCTGGAGAACGGAACCTGTTTCTCTGGTTTTAGTGAGAAATACTGGAAGTAAATGAATAATAGACTCCATCATCACTACTCTAGCCCAAAGAAAACACCTGAAACTTACCACACAACTTCTCCAACGTTGGAAGAGATCAAGTAACGGATGAACTGCTTCATGTTGTTATAAATTGCACGTCCTTCTTCCACAGCAGCTACGATAGTCGAGAAATTATCATCTGCTAAAACCATTTCAGAAGCAGTTTTAGCCACTGCAGTACCAGAACCCATAGCAATTCCAATTTCTGCTTTCTTCAACGCAGGGGCATCATTGACACCATCACCAGTCTAAAACAAGAATTTAAAGTTGAAGAAGAGCAGACACTTTTATATAGGACAAGAAAAGAATTTCACATCGCGTCTGGTATTTTAGATCAAATCACTTAAGCACAGAACTATTATGAGATGGAGTTCAGGAAAAAGCTGAAGTCCTGAACAAGGCATCAGTCTGACAGGGCATAATTTAGGTTTAAACACAGTATCTGCCTTTCAAATCAAGTAAGAAGTTCAATTCCTCACCATAGCTGTAATCTCGTCGAAAGACTGAAGAAACTCCACAATTTTAGACTTGTGGGAAGGCTCCACACGAGCAAAGCAACGGGCATGGTGGCAAGCATCTCTTTGGGCAGCAAGTGAGAGCTCATCAAATTCACGGCCAGTAAAGGCTTTTGTAGACACATCTTCATCTTCCACAAAGATACCAATGCGTCGGCAAATAGCTACTGCTGTGCCTTTATTATCACCAGTGATCATAATAACTCTAATACCAGCTTGTTTACACAGCTTTATAGACGAAGCTACTTCAATTCTTGGGGGATCCAGCATACCCACGCAGCCAACGAAGGTCAAATTGGTCTGAAACAATACAGCACTGAGTTTTAGCACAAAAACCTGTAGACATCTGACATTAGCAAAACAATCATTTTATTTGCACGCTAAACATACATCTCAGTGTAGTGACCTTTGTGTTTACTCCCATTCCCAATATTCTATATTGAGCAACTGGACACTGAAGCCTATGTCAACTTGATGTTTGGCCAAAGCCAGTGTATTATGTATGATATGCTTGTTGTTTTCATTCTGGAAGGATTACTTGTTTTGCCATGCTAAATTTTCACAGTGCTTTAGGTCTGACACTTAATTCAGAGAGTGGGAGAACCAAAATGTCACACATCTATACGCACATTGACAAGTATGAGGAGGTGAGGCAGCATTTGGTGCTTTCAGAATCACAATGCTACATGGTACCCCATGCACGAGAGGCCATAGTTAATTCCAAGAGCACAAGCATACACTGAAATGGGATCCTACACTTTTAAGCCTTGCCTCAAATATGTTCATTTCATTAGCTGTGATCTAATTGTTACCCTTGCAAATTCAACTTACAGTCAAGTCTTTCTTTTTCACCATCAGAGCCAGCAGCACAGTGCACAAACCAAAACTCACCAACTGCTATCACGCCCCTCAACACTTCACCCCAGCCTAAGTCCTTGATACAGATTTCATTGGAAAATTACAGAGTAGCTAAGATGATAATCATGGACAGATTTTTCGCAGACAACAGTATGGAGGAGGGGAAGTAAACCTGATCCTCAGAGCACAAAATGGTAGTGAGGTTTCATCATAAAATCCCCAGAGGTCTTCGCAGTTGAGCAGCGTCAAACTAAAAATCATTGAAGCCGAAACCACAATGCACTTTTGGGAAGGTTTTTCAGTCTCTGAAACAGTTTATGCTGTTATGACCTTCAGGACTGTATGCATATATGCAAAACAGTATAACTTGTAGGTGGCTTTCTAGCTGATTTCTCCTGCTTTTAGCCAAGTGACAGCATGTATAACCAGCCATCAAGAACAAATGCACATTTTGCTTTTAAACCCAAAATTAACTGGTGAAAGAAAAAGGTGGACAGTTACCAGAAACCACAGAATATTCTCAGACAGTATCCTTTGAATTTCTTTAAAGCTACATACAATCTGTTCTATAAACTGATAATTCCCTCCATAGATGTGGCTAATTGTGTCTGACATCAAAAACACCCAGTAAGACATTCTCAGCTTTAACTACACCTCAAGAAAAGGGCCAAACATAAGGAGTCACCATTCCCATTTGGGAGAGGAAGAAATGTTAAAAGGACGTTTAACTAAAATTACCTCGTAGTTAATGAAGTTTGAGGAGTCCTCAAGATTCATTTCTTCTTTTCTAGGTGGATTGTCATGGGTTGCCAGAGCCAAGCAACGCAATGTGTCTCTACCAGTTCCCCACTCTCTAATAACAGACATTATTTTCTGCTTAATTCCTGAGGTCAATGCTACTTTAGCGTTTCCAACACGGACATGCGTACATCTGTCAATTACACCTTCAGGAGCACCCTTGCAGAGGCAAACAAGAAAAAATCTTAGTAAAAAAAATTCCTTTCCAACACAGCATTTGCTTAAACTAACAAAGTTCTTTATGTCCAAGCAGTTTGGCCATAATTTCTAATGTTATGGAGTCTTTGTAGCCATTCCATAACTGCACTTCTCCAGCATGGAACTCACCTTAACAAACATCTTACTCATGGACGTGCGGCTTGGTTTGTTCGGTGTACAATAGACAGACATAGACTTTCTGTCTCTTGAGAATTCCAGAGTGAATTCTTTCTTCATGAGTTGTTTTATCACCTTTTAAGAAGACAACAGTGTAACAATATGTTTAGACAATTTATGTACCAAAACTCACTCCCCAATGAATTCCAGATAAAAGAGTACTGACCGAATTGCAAGCATTTGCACGTTCAATTCGAGAAAGTCCTTTCAAGTCTGTGTCAAATACATTCATCTTTTCAACCAGACAGGTAAGTGCCGTTTCTGTAGCTTCACCCACTTTTTCATATACTCCTTTAGCCTTTAGTTAACACAAAGCAAACAAACACAAGAGTTTACTTTAACCCTCAGCTGAAACCTACTGGAGACAAAGTTCAAGTTTCACAATGGAAAAAAAATGCTTAACAAATCTTAATATGGCTTAGGAAACAAGCAAAACTATTTTTAAAAAGCAACTTTGAGGAGTTTCATTTGTAGAAAATTTCAAGCCTTTCCTCTCAATACCAGCAGAGAATGATGTCAGCATCTTATCAAGTATTCAAGTCATTTTGAGATGTAGCAACCTTAAGGAGGCAAGGCAAAGCAAGAAAGCAGCAGTGCATTCTACACAGCAAGAGATCTCCAAGTTCCAGATTAAACTTACTGCCTGGCTTAAGTTTCCTCAGTGTTCAACAAACAAGTCATTCCCAGAATTAATGCTTAAGAAGACCTAAATACTCTTCCTTGAATAGAAGGGGATTTACCACTGAAAGGTATTACATAGACAGATGAGAACAAACATTTATCCTCATTCTCACACTCCCCTCTGTTCCAGGATATTTCCAGGATATGTACTTACTTCATTGTAGTCCAATGAGGAATCATTGCAGAGCGCACAGATCGTTGCAAGTTCCACAAGGCCATCGTACTGGCTACATTTAATAAGTTTGTCATCTTTATGCCTTCCCAGAGGATGAAAAAGGGGGAAATTTACATTAGTTATTTACAATTAGCATTTAATGTTTCCCTTCTTTAAACCTGCTACTGTATTGCCATTTAATACAATGCTTATTAAGGACTTGGAACTACAGAGTTCAGAGAATCCGGATACCTTTAAATAGATATGCAGTTATTAGACAAAAATAAATTTGATATAAGTTTATCATATAAATTTGATAAAGGTGAAATCTGAATTGTAGATCAGACAGAAATGAACAGAACAACATTACCGATGAAATTACTACCTGAATTACAAAACCTTATCTCGTCCAGTGACAGTCATACAGCAACACAGAACAGAAATAAAGAGCTCAGTGAAAGAAGAATCTGAAATCAGTATTACAGCATGTATGACTTGGACGGGAGTTCCAAGGAAAAGGATATTGCCAGACATTAGGAGCTTAACTTCCTTAGTCTCACTGCACATTCTGCAGATTTACTGCTATGCATGAACTGGACAGGCAGTAGATTTGGTCTTTGTTATTTCTTAAAAATTGATCTGTGCTGTATGCGAATCTCCTAAATCAATAAAAAGCTAGGTAATTTCACAACACAAATTCCACTAGCAAAAAAATATTCTTTTCTAGTAGTTATATATACTTAATGATGAATATCTGAGCTCTTTAGGAAAAGCAAAGGTACATTTTCCCAAAGTAATATACCCTTCAGGCATCACAAATAAAAGGAACTTCTTTGCTTCCACATTTAGAAATAGATAATAAATGAACTCATTTTCTGTAGCATCAGCACACTTCTAGAGTAAACATAAAGGAACCAGAAGAAGTGCTCAATGCTGTTATTTTTACCAGAATCAGCAAGACAATTCTCTTGTACCATCTCTTATTAAAGCCCTCAAGGAGAAAAATGTCTGATAGAAAGAAATAAATCACTGCTCCATAAGAATGCTTAACACTGCCTATGACGTCTGATTATGTAAGCTTTTTGTTCAGCCTCTTGTAGTACTGCAAAAGAAATCCAGCGTTGCATAATAGCATATGAACAAAATGCATCTTAAAAATAAGTATGCTTTAAAGTTCCATTTTGCATATAATCCTACAGTCGTAAGCAAAATTTAGCAGCTCTAAGCCCTTAACTCTTTAAAGTTCTCGGCAGCTCTCAGTTTGTCACATCATCTGTCACAGCTGGTACATCCTGCTTTCACCTGTCCTGAACCTGCAGACAACCAGCGTATTTGAATATCCCTAACTTGTTATACCAGCTTTCCCCTGCCTGCACCTTATCAGCAATCACAATGTCTGAAGTAACACAACTACACATGGAGTCAAAGTTGTGGGGTCAGTTCTACGTGAAGCTTTTTCTTAAGCTTCAGGTTTTTTGATTAGCTAAAAATGAAGAAATGCACTCTACTAGCTTTTGCTGCAGTTCTTACCAATCACTTTCATTTTTGTGGTCTCGTTTTGCAAACCAGCATGCACATTGTCAAACAGTTTAGAGCGTTTTGTCAGGCCTCAGGACACAGTCTCGTAACTGAGAAATCAGTCACTAGAAAAGTTTCAGTCACTACAAAATGCTATGTACATGAACGCAGTGCTACTCACACACTTGTTCACATTTCCCCAGTTTCAGCAAGTAAAAACAGAACATTAACATACATTGATGACACTTCTTATACTCACATTTGTCACCTCACTGAGTTTTATTATTTCATTTATCTCTAGTTCTTGAGAGAGCAGCAAAAGCATAATAGCTAGATGCGTTTCAGGATCTAGTGTCACCTTGTCTAATTCTGTCTGCTGAAACAGAAGCATAAGCTTTTGACAGCAATTAGCTTTGAAACAAAAAGAGACTTGGGGAATTAAGATTTCCAGCTGCTGAGAACATTAATTTTGATAGCAGTTAAGACCATAAAGAGGGATAATTGCTACTGAGATTGGTGAAGACTGCATGAAGTCACAGGCCTGTATGTGAAACTCCATAAGGTCGAGATGTTTAAAATAATTGAATCTAGTTCTACTTTACACATAGAATTCTAATTCTGTAAAACTGAAGTGATAAAAATACGTGAAAGACCGGCCAAATAAAAGGAGCAGGAACAACCTGATAGAAGGAGGCTCTCTCCCTCTAGAATCAGAACCCTAAGATTCTAGAAGCTCTCAGGATGAACCATCTATCCCACTAGGAAAGACCTGAAACTGCTGAAGTAAAACATAAATGGATCATGCCTTTTCAAGGCCAGTGGTTTAGTACCAGCTCAGATGCCACAGGCTGAGACAAACACATATACTACCCAAGTACAGAAGCATCAAGCCCCACCAACTGCTGAGGGCAGGACAGAGGAATTTACAGTAAATTCAAGAAAACTTCAGCACATTCATAAGATACTTTAAGAAAGTCTTCTCTGAGGCAGTTTACACTCTCACTGGTTGAGTTTTCAATTACTGAGTAGTATACACATCACTTTGCAAGTCTACTGTAACAGTCAGTGAGTAAATAGACAAATATTTAACACTTACACTTCTCCCATTGGAGCATATGTTGAACCAGTTACAGTAAATTCATTCAGAGAACAGTTATCTCCATCTACTCTGTCCAGGACAAACATCTGAAATTAGAGTTAGAAGTGTTAGAAGTGCCTTTGAAAAATAATTAATGCATGAGATTTAAACCTTAAGTATGCAGGTACAAGAAGCAAGTCCACGTTCAGTAAACAAACTAGACAAAACCAGACAATACTTTGAACTTCACTCCCATACATGTTTGAACAGCTCCTTGTACTGAAGCATGAAGTACAGAACACAGCATTTCAGTTCAGATCTTATTTGAAAACTCAATTGTGGTACAAGTAGATCAAAGAGATGAAAAAATCCTATAGAGCATACACTTAACTTCAGCTATTAGGACTAGACTAGCTCCCAATCCTGACTGTGCCTAAGTTCTTCCTTGGCTTCAGACTCAATTCTCCTGTGTACATTTGACGTAGCAGTTCCAATCAAAAGCAGCACAGGACAGCTTGTACACTGACAATTCTTACCAAAGCAAAAATACAAAGCATCTACAAATAACAGAAGCTTTTCTATGCAGCAGGTAAGGTTTGAGGCAAGAGGCAGACTACAAGTTCCCCTTAACATCAGTGAAAGCATTTCCTATCCTGTTTCTTTAAGTCATTTGCAATGACTTAATCTACAGTCAGTCTACACTGGTTGATTAGAACCATTCAGACAGCTCAAGTGTCCCTACAGTACAGGCTGAAGTTATTTTCAAATAAATACACTAATTTGAAGGATGCATTTGTGCTCTAAGACACATGCATCCGTTCATCTGTCCTTTGTTTCCGTTTCCGTTCTAGGAGAGCTGCAAGCAGATTCAAATCAGTGAAAGTGGAGATAAAAACGTGGCACCTCAAGTTGTCATACTCTACCAGGACTAGCTGGTAGTAGAGGAGAAAGTTTTCTCATTGATTGATAGTGTATTTTAATACAACTTCTTAGAAGTTGGTTACTATGAGCCATTTTGCTATACCTCATCTTAAGATCTTTATTTCCCCTCACTCTGCAGCCTTATGTTTTCGGCAAGCATTCACAAAATACAGCCTAATATCTAGGTCTGCAGTGTCTCAAGTCCCTGTAATCTTCAAAGTAATTTTAAAAAAATAAAAAGCTAAACAAGCAGATAAACGAACATCATAAAACAGAGTAAACATGTTCTTGTCTGAGATAACAGGACAGGAGGACATTAAAACAAGACTTCAAATCTTCTCCTAAAGAAGTGTTGCTTTTGACTGAAATATTTAGTAAAGGTTTCCTTTGGACACTCAGGAATTACTACTTAACATTATGAAAACTGTTAACTGCAAAAGGGAATTACTATTGTAAAAATGCTTCTTAAAAAGCTAGATAATCTCTCTGCTTCAAGTGAAGCTGAATACACATACTGGTTACAGATATTAGGATTTTGCTGTGCTTCGCAAAGTCAAGCAATTAAGGTTTTTCTGTAGCTGCCTGACCTGGTAAGTTGTACTGCTAGAGATGTAAAACATTTAGCCCTCTGAATCTAAGGAGTAGAGCATTTGAGTTTTTACGTAAATACATCTGAAGGTTCTTAAACGAGTTAACCATGAAGCCTTCTGCTTTTGGCATCTTCATTTTTGGCAGCTTGCATTTGGTGATGAAAAATCTCTGCAAAGACTAGGGCAGTTATGCAACTCTACTGCAAGTAACCTCCTCTGGAATACTGATGAGCAGCTGCTTTGTGTCTCTTAGGTATAAATACTACAATACTGAAGCATGTAGAATAAGTCAACCACCGATTAAAAAGAAAAATCAATCACATGAGAATAAAGTGGTTAAGACTTAAAAACTTCTGCCAAAAATACCAGTCTGTAGTGCGCAACATTTACACATTTGGAATTCTAACCCGATGTAATGACTGAACAAACATTTGATATCATAAATTTGCTATGCTGCTGAACATTTACAATTATGAAAAGAACTTAGTGTTTTCTCCATAAAATTCCTACTCAGAATATCAAGTACATGGGAAGCATGGAAAACTGGCAACACAACATGTATTGTATTAGGTAACTAGCTATAAAAATCTCAATCAGCACAAGAATGAATACTAGCAAAAAGGGAGGCGCACACATCACTTATGCTTACATAAAAGCACACCATACGCTGGTTGAAGAGGACCCTGGCAATGCAGGTGACAGGGTCAACAGCACCTCAAGTTGCCAGATTAGTCATGCACATTGAAACCAATACAGGGATCTACATCAGAGCAACAGCAACTAGCAACGATAACCAAAAAAAGGTGGAAACAGTAGAGAAGAGAACTCAGACCATCCAAGCTACTGCTAGTAAACCTTCTACCTTTTTCTCATTGCTAAGCTTCTCCACCATCATCATCTTCCTATGTCGAAGTGAATGTTTTTATGCTTCTACACATCCTACCACTTCCTGAAACTGGACAAATCATACTAACTAATCGCCAGTAGTCTGACATGCTTGCAGAATGCCCATAGGAAGCTGCTTGCAAACAACCTTTCCTTCCATCAAATGCGGGTACAGCTATTTTTGGCCATGACTAAATAAGGGAGGAGATAAAAGCCTTTAAACACTACACGCTGGAAAACTGAATTAAAAGTAGAAGTTTATCTTGGGAAAATAAAGCAAGATTTTCATGATATGAGAATGAAAAAAATCCTGATCAAAAGAATTCAAACAACGCTGACTATTCAAACTGAATGACTGAGGAGAGAAAGAAAAACAGAGCAAGCCAATTCAACATACCCTGCAGACTGACATCTGATTCGTGGTCAGGGTACCAGTCTTGTCAGAACAAATAACTGAGGTGCACCCCAAGGTTTCTACGGAGGGAAGACTTCTAACAATAGCATTCTTCTTGGCCATTCTGCGGGTTCCAAGAGCCAAGCAGGTGGTAATGACAGCAGGCAGACCCTCGGGAATAGCAGCAACAGCAAGAGCAACGGCAATTTTAAAGTAATAGATAGCACCTCGAATCCAGGAGCCACCATGAACCGGATCATTAAAGTGACCAATGTTTATTATCCAAACAGCAATGCAGATAAGTGAGATGACTTTAGACAGCTGCTCTCCAAACTCATCCAGCTTCTGTTGGAGAGGGGTTCTCTCTTGTTCAGTAGCCACCATCTCATCACGAATTTTGCCAATTTCAGTGTTTACTCCTGTTGCAATAACCACTCCCATAGCTTTACCAGCAGCAATGTTAGTACCCTAATGTACATAAAGGGAAGAGAAAACAAATTGCATTCAAACTGTAAACAGTTTCCTTTAATAAAGAAAACAAAAAACAACACACACTTATACAAGGCCAGACTAGAGAACATGTTTGAGTTAGGATATGGAAAAGGTAGAAGAGAGGAAGAATGACATTCCCCCAATATATGCAAGAGAATATTCCAGCATAGAATAATTTATATTTACAATTTAGGCCTAATACGAACCTATACTGGTCTACTATAAGCATCAAAATCAAATCCAGCTGCTATACATTCAGTACCTATGTCTACTGACATCTTAAGAGGGTTTGTTTTGTTTTAGCCTGGCAAGAACCAATCCTAATTATGTTATTTACTGTGAGTAACAGACATGGTCTGTGGGATTGTGTGAACATGTTTAACGTGAGCAAGAAGTTAGGTTTTCTACAGGGAGTTCACCAACAGTAAGAGTTATTTCAGTGTCTGAAAGGCATTCAACACTTCCATGAAACAAGTTTCAAATCAACTCCATATTTCTGTTTTATCAAGCTAGTTCTCAGTTTTAGCAACACAATAGCACAATTCAGGTACACATTCTTATCAGCCTTGAGAACAATTCCTTTAGAAAGAGCAGTCATTTAGGCGTACTTTAAAAGTGCACGTGCTCCAACCTTCAAAACTTTATTTCAAAGGACAAAAATGAATTTCCTCACAAACTAGTTTCAACAAGCATCTTCCCTAAGGACAGCTTTCATTAAAAGTTACTTCTAACTTTTAATTCATTCCATTTGATGCACATGGAGACTACATACATATGGCACAGAGAATACAGCAAAGTCATACGGCCTTTAGATTCAGGCTTTAAATTCTCCTCACTTTCGTTTATCAGCTTATCTGTATTGTTTTGTATGTTTTAAAACTTTCAAAACAACTTACAGAAAATAGCATGTTCTTTTTGTCTTGGTTTACAGCACGAGGATCAGGTACAGGGTCAGTGTGCTTAATAACAGAGACAGATTCACCTAAAATGAAGATAATAGCCTTAAGAAGAGATTATACATGTATCATCTTGAGTCCTGTAGGGAATCAAAAGTTATAACCTTCAGTCCGAAAAAGACTGTGTGTGAAACTGCTTTCTTTAAATTATTTTAATTGCTTAAGGAAAACAGGAAATAATTCAACTGACCAAAGAACTGAACAGCTGGCTTTTAATGAAAATAAGGTAAGATTTAAGTAAACATTTTATAGAGTTAGAAATCAATGAAGCATAAACCATGTCTTTTAAGAGACATTAAAGTGGTCACATAGGTAGTCACTCCACTCCTTATTTTAACCTATCAAGATCTACTGCATCAAGGATGACCTCTCATTATTTCACAAGGAAGTTTCTACTTCAGTGTTGTTTTGTGCTTCTCATGCATTCATGAGTTTGTTCTCTATGCATTGGAAGAGTTACATTCTCATTTAAATAATTACATGTTACCAGTTATGCATCTATTGGCAAACCTTGATTTTCTCTTTTTAACACTATGCAGCCATCTGTCAGTTAACTCCTTTAGCTGGAAGCCTTCTGAAATCTCTTCCATAAAAACCTTCAATGTCTCAATTTCCATAAACATCACACCGGAATACAAAGCTTCTTCTCAGTAAGAACAGATGTTAATTACTACACCAGATTTCAAAACGAGTGGTAACTCAGTGACTGATGCTAAAAGCATACTACTTTTTGTAAGCCCAAGAGAGCCAAAGCTTCCTACTTTTAAAAGGTTTGATGAGCATCTTAGACTGTAGTCCTGTTTTACTAATTAGAAGACTCAAACATCAATTTAAAATAGGCTCAAAAAGTGTTTTCTTAAAAAAAAAAAAGTAAATATTTTCAGTTATTTAAATAATGGCAGGGAATTCATTATTCCCCTTATGCAAGCTTCCAGTTGACTACTTCTACTTCTTCCAGTTCTGATAGATTTACAAACATAGAGTGCTTATATTTTCTTATGCTAAACAGAAGTAAGCTTGACCAGTCTTGTGCTATTGAGGATATGTACTAAGAAAATTTGCAACCTGTTTTTTCAAGATGAACTTAAGGATCAAAAATAAATTTTTGATGAATAATTTACTGTTTCAAAATTCAGAGCTAGTTGACATTTGTTATTTATACTACCAAAACAGGCAGATAGATCTTCATGTTCCAGCTGAGAAAACTCTTATAACATGCTTGGTTGATTCCTAGCTTCTTTCCTATATTCAGAAGTACCGTTACTTTGTTTTGTTTTCAACTAATCTGAAAGCGCTCTAAATATAGCTCCTGCGCTTGAGAGCTAGTATCGGAAAACACATGAATGTGCATGGACAGAATTTCAGCAAATAAGGCTTTAGTAACAGCAATTTAACAGCTGCCTGTATTTTAGAAGCTCTTGTGAGAGAAAATTGGTGTTACAGAAGACATTTAGCAAGATTTCCATACTTTCATATTCAAGCAGTGACAGGATGTTCAGACCTAGAAGAATGCATAAACTAGGGAAGAAATTATTCCCCATAAGATTCCTGTGCTTCTCGACTAAAAAAAAAATATCAAAAAGGTATTATAAACCTCAGAAAAATATTCACCCCACAAATGTGAACACAAGTGACAATGTTAACGCATTCAACCACTAAAATTTAAGTAACTAGATCTGAAATATACTGCACTTAAGTGCAACATTGTACTTCTATAACTTCTGGCTTGTCCATAGGGAAATAGTCTATATTACTCTAGAACAGTAAAAAGTCACTTCCAAATGTACGCATAGTTCTCCAAAAGTCACAGAACTCATACCTGTGAGAATTGACTGGTCTACCCTTAGAGTTGTAGATTTGATAGACGTAATCCTTATATCAGCAGGAACCTTGTCTCCAACTGCAAAGAAATTAATAAGACAAAGTTAGTATTTGTTTTTTGGTGAGATTTCTAACCAAACTGCTATTAGCTTTATCAGCCAGGAAAATGAATTTTCCAGTAAATGTTTAGGTGATTAAGATTATTAACAGCTTCTTAAATATGTTGTGGTTCACAATACTCTCATTTTATGAGTATCCAATATACACTTTGGAAATTGTATGTTTGTCTTCAAGATCTCTATCCTATCAAAGAAACATTTTTGAAAATCACTATTTTGTATTTCTAATCATATGACTACATTCTCAGGAGAAAGATAACCAATTTCAGAATACATAGCTACAAATTTTGGTTATTTATAAGTTGAATCAAGTTTCCTTTTCAGAAACTGTCCTGGCCAGTTTTCTGGTTGTTTTCTTTATGCCCAAAGTCAGTTTTCTGTTCTTCAGAGATCAGAACATTATCCATGTTTATTTAGAAACTGCTTATGCAGATCTGCTCTTTTAAATGTTTTCCTTTGAATACTGCCAGATATTTCAGAATTGAAAGCTAAATTCAGATCATGAACTAGCTTTACTTCTCAGTAATGCTACTGTATGAAATATACCACAGTCCAAATCCCCATAAAATTTTGGCAGAACTCTATGCTGTGTTTGTCATACATTCCTATTTTCTAGAGTACAACACTGGATGAAAATAATAATAATAATAAAGAACCACCTCCTCTATCAAGTGTTTGAGATACCAAGGCAGCAGATGGTAGAACAGTTAACAGCACACTCCTAAAGATGGCAGAGTGATGAAGTCAGCTGCCAGAGCTGCATGGCCAGTTTTGCTCCAGCATCTTTATCATCCCACAATTAATTCTTCCTTCTTTCTACTTTCTCTTATCTAGAGCTTTTCCTATTTTTGTAAGGAAAGTGAAAGAACTAAGCCTCACTATTTTGTGACTACTTCAAATAAATTGTTGCATGCAAGCAACTTAACTTGCCACATTTCTGACTGATGTTTGAGGGGGTCTACATTCACACATCAGCATTTCTAACAAATGCATATAATCATGTTTATTCCTAACGTGATTTTAGCAATGCAGTTATTCAAGTGTTAAGTTCATTTTTATTATAAAAGAATGCATAAAGACAAGGGAGAATACTTCAATAACTAGCTAATAAGAGATGATTTTCTCAGTAAATGGACTGTGTCCCTGCAGTAAAATTAAAACAAGCTGCAATTCCTGCAGGAGCTGCTTATGCAACTAACAGCAATAATGCACATTAACAAATAATGCAATGAGAAAGTCAGCAATGGTGTTACAGCCTTAGAACATACAGTCACTCAGACAAGAAAGCTAAGGAACAAAATGCTGAAGAGAATTAAGTGCTACTTTGAACACTGAGTAAATTTGCACCACCTGACTTTTTATAACATCAAAAAAGCCCCAACCACCATTAAAACCAGCAGAGATCGAGCAGGTTAGCTTGAGGAGTTGCCCATCTTTTTATAAGCATGTGTATATGAAGGGATCCCATAAATAGCCACAAATTGTCTTTTTGTATCTTTATAGCATGTGAAAACTAATTTAAGCCACCGTGCCCTTGAGCAGCAAGAGAAAATAGCATTAGACGAACAGTGACCTCAGCCAAAAATGGCAAAAGTATTCAATATGCTCTCCTGACATCGTGGGGAAGTTCATATGCAGACATGTAATTGCAGCTGGTTTTCAGATATCACTGAACAACAGGCTAATGCCTCAGTGCGATGGGGCATAATGCCTGTCAATCCACATACGCATTTTTGTAGTTCTTACAGCAGCTGGAGAGTTACGGCCCACTCCAACACACTACCACATTTGCCAAGACTATGCTGAAGTCTTCATTGCTTCTTAATACAAAAAGCAGCTGTAAACAAGTACCTTCAAGTAACTGGACAGAAGAGTGCACGAGTCATCTCCCAGTGCACTGATTCTGAACAGCTCTAAATTGTTCAAACTCAAACACAATATTCCCAAAAATTTGATGTGCCAGGAGAGACTCCTGCTCTTGTAGATTGATATTCAAGCAACAATATTGCCACAAGAGCTACTCACTATTATTACTGCCTCTATCATCAGAACTGAAGCATTTAATGTTACAATACTGCTGCTTTTAAGTTTATCTCAACAATTTAAGGTAAGATGCGTTATATTCCCTCACCATCTCCATTTGAGAAGGCTGGAGTTAAAACATTCAAAGTATTTCCAATATGTAAAAAAAAAAACAACTTTATATCAGGATCTATTACAGAACTATTTTGAGCAGCTCTCTGCAAAACAGCTACGACACTAAGGCATTTATGGTCTCAAATACACTTTAATGAGCATAAGTGAAACTTACTATAGATAGGAATTTATCCTATGATAGACAGGAAATTCTTTGGTGAGCAGTCTAATGCAGATCTCATCTATAAGTAGAAGGCTTTTTTTCCATATACTTTAACTCAAATCAATCTTGTGTTGTTTTGTGATAATCAACTATTTTAGACCACAGAACAACTACAAGTATTACCCAAAGCCATGACTTAGAAGACAACAAGAAATTAGGAGAATATGTATTTGCGTTGCTTAATACAGAGCTGCTACAGTCTATATAGTCTAACTTTAGATAATCTCATAGCTTTAAGCCTAAAAGCACAAGTCAGTTACAGAAGTATTTTCATCAATTATTTTTAACAAATTAAACTTGGAACAGTTTTAGCATGGCTTGGTTCAAATCATTACAGCTTTCCTCACAATCCTTTTGTTCATGCACAAAATAGCATTTTAGCATTATAATACTGAGCTTTATCCCACAAAGAAATCTTAAAAAAGCCTAGTCCATGTGAAGAGGCCAAAGAAAGCCACTTATTTAACTGCATGTGAGTATATACTGTAGCATGTGATTTACAGTTTCTTCTCCTTGATAGAAACTGGACTCGCATTTAGTTGCAATACAAGTTAAAGGTATTTTAAACAAGCCGCATTGCCTCACTGAAAATATGGACAATTAATACCTGCAAATACTGAGTTTTTCAGCTACTTGCAACTACCTAGCAATATTATCTTGATTACACCTCACCCCCTAGCCTTTCTTCTGGAGTTCAAAGCTCCCCACTTATCTGACTCCTCCCAGTGCCATGGCAGCATTATGGGTCAATTTCCACTCTTCCTGTGTGCAATCATTTACATGCGTTCAATTTGAAGCCTACTTGGCAAAGGAGCACACTTCAAGTAAAACAGGTGCCATTTGCAGATGTGACTGCAGTTCCCTAAAGAGGGCTTCCTCATGAACAAAAGCCTAAATGAAAAACCAGCATGCAGGCTGCCCAGTTGGACTTGGGAAGTGACCCTGAATGATTCAAGTCTTCAAATTGACTTCAAGCGTAGAACGCATTAAGTCCTAATCTAATACCTCGCTGTGACCATGTCCTGGAATGATCAATTCATTATCAAAATGTTTAACTTGAGAACCAATATCCCTTTACCACTTTCCAAGATAGCAGTTAACACTAAACATTTATTTTCAGAACTGTCAGAACACAGAGGCAGTTACTGGGAGACTCCTACAGCAGAAATGCTCTTAGCATGCTGAAGCCTATGGTTCCAACAGCCCGGGAAGCTATGAAGTGATGAGACATGTTCTATAAATCATGAGGTTAGAGGAAAAAAAAGCTAAAGCCATAAAAAAAAGATGAGTATTATTTTTTTTGCCAAAACATTAAGGGTTAACAACCATTTTCTTTATCTGTTCCAACATTACATACTATTATGGGTACAGTTATTTAGGCCACTTTTCCTAATGAGATCTTTAGCCTCTTAAAGAATCTGTTATTTTAAAGTCCACTCTTGCCCAAAAATAGAGTTTATCTTCTAAATTAGAATACATACCAGTGGGGAGTATTTACTAATAAACTGCCTATGAAACTGAGGTAATTGAAACAAGCAATCAAAAAATCCCTACAGTAGAGATACCACCACAAGGTTTAAGAACTGAAATGAGCAGGCTTAAGTAACACAATATGGGACCCTAGACAGAGCTGAGTATTGTTTCTGCTGTACAGACAGTAACAATTGCAACTGACATCTGAACATAATGAACTGCTTCTATCTGGAAGTTTAGTTGTGGCAGCATGATTTTGATACTAAACTTCTTTAACGAACTCAGCTTAGCTCATCTTCTTCCCTCTTCACATACTCGTCTTCCTCTCACACACAGCCCAGTCTTCCTATTGTTTGACTACAAATTTAACCTGTTGTTACAGGAATAAAATTTAACATTTCCTATATAGGGCATAATAAAAATGCTACGAAAAATCAGAAGCTCTTCAAAACAAGAAGTCCACCTACTCTTTCATACAAGGTCAGAAGTGTCAAGTTATCAAAATGAGGACTGTGAAATACACTGTAAACCTGAATTTACACCCAAAGACAGTTAAGATGGATTTCTTTTCAAGAAGATGTAGACTAAAATAGTGGTCCCTTCAGTTTTAACCATACTAGTAAAACAGCATTTGGTTTTACTGCCAAGACAGCAAAACAACATATTCTGAGTCAATTTTTCACATTGATGACACATGCTACAGATTAGAGAGCATTCACAAAACAGCCCTCTCTACCACATGCTGTTCTCCATTCTGGACAGACAGAAGTTATCCTTGGAGCTTACTGCACAGCGCATGCAGAGGTCTAAATATCCAAACCTAAGAACTGTTAGAGGTAGAAGAAAAACATCATACATAAGTTATTCATGTTGCATTCTCATCAATGACAACCAAGGAGACAGGAAAAAACAGGAAAAAACTCAGCTTTCTGGGAGCAAAATATTTCAAAGCCAGAACTAAGGTTTTTATTTAGAAAAAGTATATAGGGTATTGAGCAATACATAAGACAAATCATTCCTATTTTAATGCTTCCATTTTGGAAAATCATATTTGAATGTCAGTCTCTCTGAAGAGGGCACCAGAACATTTAGTAAGTTGTGCCAACGTGATACCCAGCCTGTAAGTCT